TGGAGAAAAAAACGGTTTTTCGTCGGCGTTAACCCGTGGCTATATTGTTCCTTGCGATTTTAGTTACAGCCCTTACAAAAATAAACTATAGTTTTTCAAGCCAAAAACTATAGTTTTAAAAACTATAGTATTTTGGAACAAAAACTATAGTTATGGAAACTATAGTATTAAAAACTATAGTTTTGGCTGAAAACTATAGTTTTGGCTAAAAACTATAGTTTTGGCTAAAACTATAGTTTTGGCTAAAAACTATAGTTTTGTCAAAAACTTTAGTTTTGACTAAAAACTGTAGTTGGAAAAACTATACTTCTGTATTTTAGTTAGAAAACTATAGTGTCTTAAAGAAATACCCTAGCATAGCATGCATGCAAGCAGCACATCACCACCTCGCACAATGAAATTTGTTCATCTGATAACATTATTTTATTAATATAATAAATATAATAAGCTATTTGCATAATAATAAACTATGTATAACACTTTTAGTTTGTGGGAACACCACGGAAATTTATTACTGTAAAGCTTTCGATCCGGGCTTACGGATCGAAAGCTTTGCAGTAATAAATTTACGTGGTGTTTCCACAAACAAAAAGTGTTACATATTTTATCGCCATGCAATCATACAAAGAACTAATAAACTATATATTAAATAAATGAACAAATAATACTAAATATAATCAGTTTTTTGAATTAGTAACCATATAAAAAACAATGTATGTCAACTAATCTCAGTTTCTTGTTCAATTTATTGCTGTTCCTTCCCTGCTCTTTGTTGTCCAGCTTGAATTTTATTGCTTTTATAATGTCTTCTTTGTAAACAGGACAGCTCATATTGTTGTATTGTTAACATCCATTACACATTCTGGAAAACAATGGACAAATTTTCATGTAAGTTAACCATAGTTAATATAATTTCACATTACAGTGCATCTACAGTAGGTGGGGTAACTAAGAGGTCTAACCTGCGATCAAACCTTAATTAACGAAAGTCCATGCCGTACAACCGTACTTCGGTTGGAAATCTGACTGGTCTATGCGACAACAGATTTTTTAATCTGCCATTTGATTGGTTAATTGGTGCTAATTAGATTATACTATTGTTGTCGATATATGTTATAATGATCACAAATATGATTAGATTGTTGTTGTTGTTGTTGTTGTTGTGTGAAATTTAAATTTGTCCTGGGACATTTTGATTGGATAGTGGATATTTATGTATCCTACTAGCTGGATTGGATATAACATATACATGTAGATAGGATATAACTACCCAACATATCTTGTGCAATTACTCCTTGGGTATTAATAGGTGATAGTTAAGTTGTAGGTAGTGTTAGGGAAAATTGCATCTAAATATGTCAACATGAAACATGGGCAGAGTCTAGCTAGACACTTCCCTTGACAAATAAAATTGTCCGGCATTAGAGAAGATAATATTTAACAAACTGCTGAAAATTGGCTCATGGGTATAATTTTAAAAAAACATGCTCAACAACCTTGCCAAGGTGTGTGTAAAATATATAAAATGTAGCCCAAAGTTGTTACATGGCTTAATAAATCAGTTCTGGTTCCAGCCAGAACTTTTTTTCAGTTCCAGCAAGAATTTAAGAATCGGTTCCGGTGCACCCCTAATCTCTGGATCTAAATCCTATTGAGAATTTATGGGATCATTTGCAATCAGAGAAACTGAAACATGATCTCCACAGTGAAGACAACCTGTGGGATGTCTTTATTAATCAATGCTGGAATAAGATTAAGCCAACAATACTAGAACACTCGTTGAATCTAAGCCAGGAAGAGTTAAACCTATTTTAAAATCAAAAGGGGTCACACAAACAAATGTTCACTTGGCTAATATACAGTAATATAATATAATATAATATAATATAATATAATATAATATAATATAATATAATCAATTCCAACATTGATGTAACTTCTACTTTGATGCACATATAGTAGTGCTGAGTTGTGGGAAAATATATTGTATATCAATAAAAGGCAAGAGAATATTGACTTGACTTTTAACCCTTATGGATATAACTATCCAAGTATCCAGTTTGACATATCTTGTATAATTACTCCTTAGGTACAAATAGGTGATACTTGGGCAAGCAGTCCACAGTCGATTAGTAAAATTGTCTCATGCGAGACATACATCAAAGTTAAATATCAAAATAGTTAAGTTGTAGGTAGTGTTAGGTAAAATTGCATCTAAATATGTCAACATGAAACATGGGCAGAGTCTAGCTAGACACTTCCCTTGACAAATAAAATTGTCCGGCATTAGAGAAGATAACATTTAACAAACTGCTGAAAATTGGCTCATGGGTATAATTAAAAAAAACATGCTCAACACCCTTGTCAAGGTGTCTGTAAAATATATAAAATGTGGCCCAAAGTTGTTACATGTATATATCATTAAGCAGATCATGCAGGTGGTGTAACTAAATATACTCATAAGTTTGAACAAGCAAACTAAAGACTTGAACTGTCTCCACTACACATCCATGAATCAAGTTGCCACACAACACATCATATTGACATTTTAATCTAAGCGGACCCACTTATATACAGAGGTTTCACTTAACACTTCCCCGGGGCAAATAAATATCATGACGGGCAATTAAACATTTTATCTTGCTTGTCCGATTGAGCTAGTTGCCATGCCGCAAAAAGCTGCCAGGCATGTTTTCATTGTCAGATTGTATAGTGTTTTTTTGTGGGCCAAAGCTAGGATCTGAGGCAGTATAACATAGCCATATTGACGAATCAACATGTTAAATATTGTCCCCTTAATTTATATCCTCCACCTGAGTATACCAGTGGCCATTGTCCAATGGCAAGTGAATTTTTATATTCAAGGCAACTAATTTTCCTGTCCAACTTGCCCTGAGAGTGAGAGCTGGCAAGTGGTAAAAATAGTAAAGTTACACCACTGTTATATATATGAATAAACATTAGAAACGTATGAAATAGCAGTTGATATATGTCAATAAATTCTCTCAAATCATGTTTAGGTGAGGCATGCCTATGTAGGCATATGATCAGGATTGAGTAGATGCCAATTAAGCTACATTATTCTATACAAAGTTCACTGTTTAAATACAATCTGTCATATACACAGCTATACTATTTGGCATTTATACAACTGTTTCAAATGTTATCGTAATAATGCAAATATTCTCGCGGCAAATTCAAATATATTTAAGCCAGGTCACATCAGGAATGATGATGGTAAATATTTACAAACAAAAAGTGGTAAATATTACGTTTCAAAATTGCTCTATTATATAGAAAACATAACAATATTCTTACCTGTATGTTACTTAGTCATTCCTGATATTCCATCTTCGTTAAAATACGTTATTTTCATTTAAAATATCCATATTTCACGCTGATAAATTAACTCAAATGAAAATTTCAAAAATATGGCAGTCTGATCGAATGACGCTATCCCAGGAAGCTTTGCGCATGTTGTTAGAAAAATTAGGTACCAGGCTGTCAAACCGCGCTCATCGTGAGAATTTAATTAATTCGTGGCAAATTATAAACGTAAGTAGGGCAAAATTGGAGGAAATAACTTGAAATATGCAATATTGTAGTTGAAAATAAAATAATTATGTAAAAGTAACGAGGAATTTTGACATAAAGGAAATGTTTTTTCTTCGACCCATCTCCCCACCCCCACCCCACCCAATCCCCATCAGCAACAATTTTGGGAAAGTTTACACAGACATTTTTCATTATAGTCAGAGAAAAGTCAGGTAAATTTCCTTCCTCCCTAATTTGTTTCTCTCGTGTGTGCTCATGTGCGAAAACACCTACCTCCACAAACACTGTAAACTTTGGTAAATATAGTTTCCATGAACTCATGCAGAATTTAAAATTAACTCAAACTTTGAAATTTTGACCAGTTAAATAAATATAATATTTTGACCAATTAATATTAATTAAAAGTCAAAAAAACAAATTTAATTGCGACCTAAAAAAGTGGTTGTTTCAACCAATTAGTTTTTACAATGAGGTAACTGGATTAGGTATGATCCTTTACAGAATATAGTGGTGAAGTCAGCCCGACAATTTGTTCATGCTACATAGATAAATATTTCCGTGAAAACAATACATTTCTAAAGAAATGAATATATGATATTTATTTGAAATTTGCATAGCATGATCAAATTGTTGGGACGCCTTGGGCACAGGGCCACAGGCACTGCTTTATAGTTATAGAACCTAAAGTGTATCTTTAAAAAAACTATAACAAAACTATAGTTTTCAAAACTTTAGTTATGAAACTAAAATATATGCTAGTGGTAAAACTATAGTTATCTAAACTCAACTATGGTTTTCAAAAAACTATACTTCCCTTTAGATAGAAAACTATAGTTTTATTGGAAAAAAATCTATAGTTATTTTGAAGTTAACTATCGGGTTTTTTTGGAAACTATAGTATTCTACCAAAGTATAGTTTTTTACCAAAAACTATAGTTTTTCTCATAGTTTTCATAAAACTATAGTCCTTTATTAATTATGTACATGAAACTAAACTATATATACCAGTGGTAGAAAACAATAGTTTTAAAAAACTATAGTTCCCTTGAGTTATATATACTAGTGGTAGAAAACAATAGTTTTCAAAAAACTATAGTGAGTTATAAAACTATAGTTTATTGCAGACATACTATAGTTATTTTGAAGTTAACTATAGTTTTCTTTTTGCAAACTATAGTTTTCCACCAAAAACTATAGTTTTTGGTCGAAAACTATAGTTTTCAAAAAACTATAGTTTCCTTGAGTTATAAAACTATAGTTTATTGCAGACAAACTATAGTTATTTTGAAGTTAACTATAGTTTTTCTTGGAAACTATAGTTTTCGACCAAAAACTATAGTTTTCGACCAAAAACTATAGTTTTTCTCAAAAACAACTATAGTTTTTGGTCGAAAACTATAGTTTATTTTTGTAAGGGAGCCAAGAACAGGAGCCATTATTCCAGGATGCATTCGCCGTTAAGGGATGTGGTGGTCCATTCTTGGAAGGTGGTGACTCAGGTCTTTGATGACAAGAATAACCAGAAACAGGTGTTTGCCTATGGGGTTAATTGCGAAGTGGATGAGCTTCTCTTACCAGAACACTACGAGTCATCGAGTTCTTGCTGTTTTGATGAAGACGAATCTTACTCTGAACAAGAAATCGAGGATGAGAATGAAACTACGTCTGAGAGTTCTGAGGCTGAATGTAAGGATGAAAAAAGTGAATGTAGAGATGGATGGTAAGATATGAAGAAGAATGGGTTGTTTTTCAGGAAGAAAGTGAGAGATTTCGGAGAAAATGGAGAGAGAAGAAGAAAGAAATTCCAAGAAGAAAGTGGAAGCGTCAGGGCCATACTTCATCTGTCTTAGATTAGATACGGCTTTAGAAAACCTAGGACTTGAGAAAGCAGCTTGTTTTCACAATTGTGGCTGTAACTGAAAATGATGTGAATCATCTTCCAGATGTTCATATATGCGGACAATTCTGAATTTTACCTTTTATTCAAGCCAGATGGCGAAGTGAGTTAGGCCGCGGCATTGAATGCGATGGAACGTTGTGTGAATGAGTAAGTGAACTTTATTTAACGACAGTGAACTCATGAGGATTTTACAACGCCAATTATAGAATAGAATACAATAAAAAATTACATATTACAATTTTATATACATATCATTTATGAAAGTGCCTGTTTCCAATGGCAATGAGTTCCGTGTAATTACTAATATAAAGATACAAATTTGAAAATGATCGTATGAAGTTGCTGCAGTCAGACTTGAATTTACGTAAAGTGTTAGCTTGTCGTATCTCGGCTGGAAGGGTGTTACACAGTATCGCACCACTGACACTGGAGCTAAAACTATTTTCAATGAGTTCTTGAGATAAAGTTAATGTGCCTTCGGTGTCTCCCAATGTATAATTTGTAATGTTGCTGCGATCGACAAACATGTCCGTTAGGTAATCTTGTACAAGTACACTCAGAGATAATATTTAACACACCATTACAGCCTTAGCAATTTTACGCTGAGATGCAAGGTGTTTTTTTAAGTATAAAGTTTTAAGAATATTTTAAAGACTCACTTGCTTTTAATGTTTAAGTAGATTAATTATCTTAAGAGCAATGTATGTAAATAGATTAGTTGTATTAATTAATTAATACTATCTTATATGTCTATATCAATTCTTGTAAAGCGCATTTGATCATATGCAAATGTTAATTTGCGCTATAAATGTCTTAATTATTATATTATCAATTGCGTTATATATTGTTGACAAAGACTCGTCAATATATGCTGCTTACTTTACTGGCACTCATGTAAATAACATCAGAGCTCAACCAACGAATGGCAGGATGGTAGCTGGTCGTAAGAGCATAGACAGTCCAAAAGACATTTCTTCTGAGTTCTAGATAGTTTATGCTCAGTGAATAATATTAATGGATGTTCTATTGGAGAAAAATACAAATTAGAAAACACTGACAATTTTTTGCTGCAGCTATTGCTTTCCAAATTCGATCATATCAATGTTAAAGATAATAAGAAAAAAATTCCGAAATTTGTACCAGATTTAATATAGTTTAATTAATACACTGGACCACCACGTTTGAGATATCCCTTTCAGGTAGTTCAGGCACAAACCACAACGTATACAGCTTATTATAGAATACCACATACACTTGACCACCACGTTTGAGATATCTTTTTCAGGTAGTTCAGACACAAACCACGACAGATTATTGTAGAAAACTACCTACACTGGACCACCACGTCTGAGATATCTTTTTGAGGTAGTCCAGTCACAAACCACGACAGCTTATTGGAGAATACTACCTACACTGGACCACGTTTGAGATATCTTTTTCAGGTAGTTCAGATACAAACCACGACAGCTTATCCCCGAGCCGGCGCCGTGCGAGGGTACTAATTCCCCCCGGCTATTTACACCCGGGGAAACGAAAGCATTAGCGGAGTCTAAAGTTCATCAAATCATCAACGTGTAGTTCTTCATGGCGTGTGTTCCGATTGGCTCCCGGTTACATCTGGCGTACCACAAGGCTCCATACTTGGTCCACTTTTGTTTCTGATCTACTGCAATGACGTTCAAAATTACATACAAGCAAACTCGACACTCGCACTCTTTGC